CTTAATGTATTTAATAAACAATCCTTCTGTTTCAGACCAGAACTTGGAATGTTACTTTTTAAAACTTCCTTGTTACTTTAAGATGTTACTCATTGCCCTAATTTTCACTGTTCGTTAGATGTGCAACATGTCTCTTTTCAGTTATTTTTTAAATAGTTACATAAATTGTAAAATGTATATAATAGCCCCCAATTCACCTTCAAATGCCACAATAATGTTTTAGAGTAAGGGATGTACATTACAGGGTTAAAATATCATGACATGCCGGAGATTGTGATGAAACAATTGGGGAGAGGGGGCACTTTTAAAGAACAGATGCAAACCACACACACTTATATGCCTACTGATGCATGGCAGGAAGGATATGACATGGTATGCCAGTTCTTTTTTAACTTCATATGGGAGGTCATTCCCAGGAATGGACATTCTGAAAATGCTGTTCAGACCAATTATCTGAAATACAGTAACTGATCGTTGCCTAGCTAGACTTTTCAACAAGAATACAGTGACCTATGTTTATTTTCTTTCCATACAGTACGCAGCTAAGGAAATGCAAGGCATAGGACATTTCAGAGATCTATTAAACACTATGCTGTGTTTATTTGATGTATATCCTTTTTTCTCTCTCAGTGGTGTGTCCCAAGGTGGTTTACTAGTCACAGTCTTATGCACTGTACTAAGCAGTAATGTGTTTCCCCTTAAATCATATTAATAATGTATAATTGTAATGAAATTTACATATATTAATTTGAATTAACATATGTAAATGTAATACAAAATGTCCTCGATTTTTTTTTTGTGAAGATTGTCCTCCCTTTTTATGTTGTCTGTCTCTCCTCTTTGATGGTGGAGCAGTGGCCACCCTGCATTGGAGGCATATTTGTTGAGAACACGAGAGAAGGCAATCTGAGTAGTTGTTTCCAGGATTTAGAACTCCCTAAAAGACAAAGTCTACTTTGCTATCCTTCCAATGTCAGGCAAAGATGTTTTTATTCAGGCAGTCATTAGCTGTTTAGTGAAGTAGGTTTTAATTGATGGGTGCTATTATTTATTTTCTGGTTTAGAAAACTAATTTACTTTTATGTTTTAATTGTAAATTTTATAGTTGTCTTTTGTTTTTAGGTGTTAACTGCCTTGAGATTTATTTTTGGTGCAGAAAGGGGATATACAGTTGATCCATAAATAAATAATAATAACAATAATTTTAGAACTGCAAAGCTGGAAGAGACCCTATAGATCAGTGGTCCCCAACCTTGGGCCTCCAGATGTTCTTGGACTTCAACTCCCAGAACTCATAGCCAGCAGAGATGGTGGTGAAGGCTTCTGGGAGTTGAAGTCCAAGAACATCTGGAGGCCCAAGTTTGGGGACCACTGCTATAGATCACTGAATCCAGCCTCTGTCAAGGAGGTACAGTGGAAAATCAAACTCCCAAACTCTGGCTCCGCAGCCAAATGTGTAAGCCATCGGTTCTAAACATACCCTGTAAATATCCAAGTCAAATAAAGTGTCAAAAGCCAACAGTTGTTCCCTAGAGTAAAACTGGAGTATCTTTGTAGAGTTGTGAAGAGATTTAAAATGGTAGAAGAATAGAGGGCCTCTACATGTAGAGGTGGAAAGGTGTATGTGTGTGTGCACACAATTAACGGCCAAGTCTCTCTCAGCTTTGGGCAACCAATAAATGAATGACTTCCAAATGGCTCTGTCATTAAGAACCCTAATCAGGTCTTTCAGTCTAAAGGCCATAGCTTTCTGTATTGCAGTGGTTCCCAACCTTGGATCCGTGGATATTTTTGGACTGAAGCTAATAACTGAAACAAAACTCACCCATAGAAGAGTTTAAAAGAGAGAGAGAGAGAGTAATTAGATAAACTGAAACAAATAAAGCAACAGTCACGTCAACATTAAGAATGTCAGCAATTAAGATCAGGTTAAGATCTCCTGTATGTCATTTGGTCTCACAAGTGCTTAACTTTGCACTCCAGGTAAATTGTACTGTATAAACACACTCTCTCTCTCTCTCTCTCTCTCTCTCTCTCTCTCTGTGTGTGTGTGTGTGTGTGTGTGTGTGTGAGAGAGAGAGAGAGAGAGAGAGAGAGAGAGAGAGAGAATGAACTAATGTTAAGGCAGGGGAAATTACCTAAGTAGCAAACTGCCTGCAAAGAGCTGAGGAGGAGATCTCTGTGGGAGCATCATTCCCCTCCCAGGAGACTCGCAATTCTTTCTCTCAGTCGCCAGGTGGTGAAGAAATCTTCACACAGCAACAAGCTCTGGTGGCAGGTTCCTCTTGAGAGTAAGGGCTTGGAAAGGAGATGATGGAAATGTTTAACAGCACACATAACATGGGCTTAGGCACCAGGGTGATTGGCAGTGGCCGATAGGAGTTAGCAGCTTGTCTTCTGCAGAGGTCCTTAGAAAGAGTTGTAGTTGAACCATCTCCCCAGATGGAAGATTCTGCTTGAGAGCTGACTTAACAGCGTTTGTTTTGCTGTTTTTCCTAACGGGAGTCTTTCTAGGCTTCAGAAGGGACGATTACTGTATAACTATTGCAGGTTACACAAAGATGCTGTCAGTTAACCTTGAGGTTTGTTGAGGTTTGGTGTCAGAAAATGGTTGTGGGCCTGTTCTCTGGCACGATGCACCACTTCATTCTGAAAATGAAGCTTTCCCCTTGATTAAAGTCAAGAAAAGGACCACTTCTGGAAAAACAAAACACACTGCTAATGATTTCTTTGCTACTCTGGAGTGTGGAACAGTCACGTTTTTGAACTGCAAAGCCCTGAATCCCCCCCAGATAGCATTACATTGATAGTCTTAAAAAGTATTTTTTTTTCCAAGCTCCAAAGCTAAGAGCTGTTTTTATTTTTTGGATTGACTTTGGAGAAAGAATTGCCAGTGGGTAGCCCTTTAAGGCAGGAGTAGGTAAGATGGAGGGGACAAAATTAGGCCCTCAGCATCCGCTACAGGCCACACCAAGTTCAGAAATTGCCCCACAAAAAAGGCCATTTGGAAAAAGAACCATTAGAAAGTACTCAGATAGACACTTCTGGTTTGGGGAGTGAAGGAACCAGTCCTTCCCCTTGCTCTTTTGCATGCACGCCTGATTCTTGTTTCTTCTGGGAGAATGGCTGCCCTGATGGTTATGTTTCAGAAATAGAAGACAATCGGTTCAGATTTTTGTTTTGTCACAGAGTTTTTGTGGGAGAGGATAAAACAGACAGACCTTTGGGTACTGTGGGTGGCATATTAATTAATTAATTAATTAACCAAATGAACAAACAAACAAACAAAGATGATGCCAAGTTCATTCCCTGGCACCTCTCATTGAAAAGGGTCCCCGGTATATCAGGTTGGAAAGGCAACACTGTATAAATGTTTGGACAAGCATTACCAAGCAGATGAGCTGGTACACAGCTATGTGGATCAAGCTGTGAACCAATAGCAGCCAGCTTCCCACATGTCTTAAGTGCCAAATGTGCCAACTCACTAAATTGCTTCACTGGAAATTAGATTCATAGAGCAATTTTTTACTTGGTAAAATGCGTCCAATTCACATATTTTTGACACAGTTAACTTTATCATGGCTGCTACTCCCTTTTTAAAGAGGGGCAAACTAAGCCTGATTATTTGTGTTCACTCTGTAGCTGACCTACAGCGTGTAGGTCCAAGATCAACATTTTGTACCTGCTGGAATGGCTTTGGTTACGCTAGAGGCACTTTCTTAGATGCTTGGTGTATTTGTTTAAGATTATTAGCTCACACTGTCCTAAAATAATCCTGCTCATTTATTATTTCCTGAAAAGCCCAAATGTTTTTCTTATAGGTGATATTTTTAACAAAGATATTCAATATATGCAGTCCCTGCTCCAATCTTGGAATAACATATTCTTCTCTCCCATGAGCCTCTCTCATTGAAGGATGCACCAACCCAAATAAATGTTGTTTGGTTGTGTTAAATATGATTCTTTCTAACCATCTAGATCATCTAGAGTGGTGCAATACTTTAGCAGGAGATACTTTTGGCATGGTAGAAGCCTGTGGGTTGTGGTGGATGTACCTTGCTGAGGGCTTCTGGTTCTGACTTGCCATGGCCTCTGTAGTGCAAATGCAGACACAAGGAACAGAGTAGTTTTATAATACAGAATTGCTCCCAGCTTTGACTTGGATTGATGAGGGCATCTTTGGTTTATGACAGTGTATTTAGATTACAAAGGTAGGTAACTAGATGATTATGACAATAACAGTGATGATGACTGTGGCGTTCACACCTCGTGGCCCCTGCCTGACTCCCCAAACACAGAGCACACGAAGGCAAACCCCCAATACTCCTTTTCACACTCTGCCACCAGTTGATCCCAAAATCAACATACTTTACTTATGGAAGGATGAAGATGAAGGTCCAAACCTCACTGTCTTTTAAATAAAACAAGTTTATTGATTACAGATGTTTTGATTATCATTCATAAGTATCTTCTTCAGGTTTCTCAATCATCAATAACAATCTTCTATTTGAGCTTACAGTTACTATTCACTCTTCTGACTAATCACACCTCAGATCTCCCAAATACCACACTCTATCTCCACTCTCATCTCCCTCTTGACTCTGACTCCACCTCTTTTTACAGATCTCTCGGTTCCGCCTCTCAGCAACATTAGCCTGCAACATGAATATGCATGACTACTTAACATAATAAGGGGTGAATGCTACAATGACAATAATAATTTCTGTAGCTGCGGCTGCATGCTTAGACACCAGATAAATGCTCAGTGTCTTCCACTCTGTAGTTTTGCTGGAGGTTGTCTTTTCTTGAAATTTGGGGTACATGGCTGAATAGCAAGTTTTCAAGTCTTGTAAAATTTGCAGGCATCAAAAAATTGTTATTTGTATCACTTTTGTGTGATTTGTCTTTAATACGACAGTACGGTTGTTCATTATTCTAATGGCTAATGAGTACATTGTACAGGGAAACAAACCTCTATTTTCCTTCTTTTTAATTTGCAGCAAACTCCATAAAGCTAGAAATGCAAAGTGATGATGAGGATTCTGACAGGAAGCCCCTCGGGCGAGAAGATGGGATCAGGGGCCATGAGGAAAGCAGCAGCTTGGAAGAACCTCTGACGGAGAACCACGAGATGGTGGAGAACAGGAAAATGCAGGAGCTGTCAGGCGAGGGAGGAATCCGGCTACCGAATGGTAAACTGAAATGTGACGTCTGTGGCATGGTTTGCATTGGGCCCAATGTGCTTATGGTACATAAAAGGAGTCACACTGGTAAGCAGCTGAAAGAAAACGTGATGACTGCCTTTGGCATCTGATATTGATATTATCTGACATCTGTTCTCTTGCCTTTCTTGGTTTCCGATTGATAATCAAGTGCAGTAAGAAATATCATTCCCCTTTCAAAATGTATCAGTCTGTTGGCTAGTGAGGAAACAAGACTGGAGAGTATAGATTTCTAGCTTTGCTTAACTTCACGGTCATGATGGCCTTTGGAATATTATTCCAACTTCCTTTCATTCATTGTGGAGAAACATTGCACATTGGTCCATTTAAAGCTGACCTCCCTTTTTTCCATTGACTTTATAGAGCCCTCTGTTCTCCCTAGTTCTTAGGAGAGATCAGTAGAAAATATGGCTAACATTGGGACATACCTTGCAATGTGGGGGCCACTGAAAAATCATACACCAAATGGAGGGCTTCATCCATAAAAAAAATTCTCCATGGTAAATAACCTCCATGGAGGCCCTTTAGCCCTTGCATACTGTACATACTAATATTTACATATACTGGGCTATCAGTAGTAGATGGCTTGCAGTAATGCTAGGATGAAGTTAGCAGTCAAGTCTACTGTTCTTCCTCAGTGGAAACTCCTCATGTTTGCTAAAGAAAATTGACAATGCCAGTAGTACCAAGTCAGAATCAAAGCTATACACTGTCCTTTACGTTTTTCTCCCATTCTGTCAATCTCTGGCTGGTCTCTGTTTTACTATGTGGACCTTTGATTTGATCCTGCAGAATTCTTCTTACATACTTGTATTTCCAAAAAAAAAAATATCGCATTGTGAGTTTTTCAAAACAAGTACCTGTTCTTACACTGTTTTTCCCAGGTTAATTGACCAAAGTCATTGGGTTTGAGGTGTACTGATGTGCATTTGACCTGCAGGAGTTCCCTAGCAGTGCTACACTCACACAGGAAGACATCCTTGTAGAACTTAAACTGCCGGCTGATTTACTTAAAACGGCACTGTTCAGTGATAACCATTCAAAACGTATGGGTGTCCTAAACTGGAGTGAGCTGCTTGGGCAGCACTGGGGCCAATCATCTGCCCCTAGAATCCTCCAGGGTTTAGTACAGATTGCTAAAAATGCAAAATCCAAAAGAATAAAACCAGAAATTGCTGGAAATTCAGTATTGTTTTAAAAATAGAACTTACAGGTATTAAATAATGACTGGTCCAAAATGTAAGTTGCAGCTCCAGAAAGTAGGCAACAGCAGCAGCACCTCTTTTATTTACCTATTTATTTCGCTACAAAAATGGCCAGTGGGGTGAGGGCGGAACTACTCATTGCCCACCCTACCCTAAACTGTATCAGGGCAGTGAAGCCTAGAGCCATAGCCAATAAGACTGTGTATTGTGTGGAAATATGGTATTTCAACAATTAATTTAAATGCTCCCCATCATCTGAGGCAGTACCCTACTTAGCAGGTACATAAATTAAAGATCATCTTCATTGAGAACTCTACAGACATTGCAGCATAATTTGTGAACCCCTGCACCAGAGAAGAACCTGCTGTTGGCTTACAGGTTTGGGGCAGGACTCTCGCTGTTTGACAATTTGCAGACCTGCTACCATGAGAATAGCTAATGCTGGACTATATGGGCCAGTGGTCTGATTCAGTATAAGATGACTTCCTGTGTTCCAGGGTGGTGGATGTGTCTGTGAGAGTGAATGTGTGTGTGTGTGTGTGTGTGTATGAGAGAGAGAGAGAGAGGAGTAGTGGTGCAAACTAATTGCCACTGAGCCATGTGCCATGTACTGCAGATACAAATCTCTACTTAGCAGGTACATAAATTTAAGATTATCTTCATTGAGAACTCTACAGACACTGCAGCATAATTTGTGAACCGCTGAACCAGAGAAGAACCTGCTGTTGGTTTACAGGTTTGGGGCAGGACTCTCACTGTTTGACAATTTGCAGACCTGCTACCATGAGAATAGCTAATGCTGGACTATATGGGCCAGTGGTCTGATTCAGTATAAGATGACTTCGTGTGTTCCAGGGTGGTGGATGTGTCTTTGAGAGTGAGTGAGTGAGTGAGTGAGTGAGTGAGTGAGTGAGTGAGTGAGTGAGTGAGTGAGTGAGTGAGTGAGTGAGTGAGTGAGTGAGTGAGTGAGTGTGTGAGTGTCTGTGTGTGTGTGTGTGTGTGTGTGTGTGTGTGTGTGTGAGAGAGAGAGAGAGAGAGAGAGAGAGAGAGAGAAGCATTTGGCATAAAGAGAGAGAGAGGAGTAGTGGTGCAAACTAATTGCCACTGAGCCATGTGCCATGTACTGCAGATACAAATCATAGGCATTCACTTTAGATCACTTTAGAATGTTAAGTTGTATTACTTTAGCAGGTAAATGTAGAACTAATTTAGATGTTTTGCACTATAGGCATTTCGACATCATTTTTCCTTCAAAAGTAGCATTGTGTCCAATAAATAAAATAAAATAGAGATTATGTAACACACTGCCCTTGTTAGAGCCATTAGAGTTCCTATATCGAGGAATAGTGCTTGTTCCCTCTGTGCAAAAAAGGCAGAGATGCATCCACTATTCAGATGTTCTCAACCATACAGAAATGTGTTCCCCCCCCCAATGTGTACATTTGTTCTCTATTCTTACTGACCCCTGACACTGCTAAGTTGTTTTATTCTACAGAACTTTCCTACTGTAGAAAAAGAGGTTTTCTGGGCATGTTTATGCCCCTTACATTCATTTCAAAAGTGACCATTTCTTCATGGAACGGTGAATTTTATCTCTCATACAGGTTGTTCAAACTTCTGTCTCTTGCTGCGTTGTTGTAAAGGTTACTAGGCATGGATCAAAATGATGTTGTAGAGTTCTGAGGAGGGAGAATAGACTGTACCATGTCAAACTGCAGATGGGAGATGGTATTTATTTATTTATTTATTAAAAAAAAGATTCCCTAAACGAAAACTATCACAATAGAGCGTTTTGCAGCAAGTTCTCTTTTTTTAACTTGGGAAAATACAAGTAAATTATATCCCTTACTTGAGTTGAGTTCCAGGGCTTTCAAGCCCAAGGCTCTACCTCATGCTCATCCAGAGAACAGGAGGAGATCTCATCATCAGCACCTAGGAAAACATGAGTAACACCTCTTTTTGTTATTACAAACAAACAAAAAACATTTTAAAGCCAAGCTAAGCAAGCATGAGCATGATTACAGATAGTCATTTTATTTTATTTACTTTAAAAATATGTGCTGTCTTTTTCTATAAAAAAATGGTGCTGGTTCCCAAATAAATGGGTTTGGCACTAAGGAAGCAGAAGCAGATGCTATTTTATTCCTATAGCCATGACAGTGCCACGATTCAAGTGAAATTTGCGTTGACAAACTAGTTTTTGCTCTATGTTGTCCTAACGTATTAGGAACACAATGACACTGGAGGTGGGGACAGAATGATGATTCCCAGTGGAATTGCTACACATGACCATAGAAAAGGCAGGCCCATGAAATCATTAACACCAGGATGTAAAATTACCTACCTCCCCCCTCTTGGTGAAACTGATTATGCTACATAAAAATCCCTTTGAAAACAAGGTGCACAAAAATTGTTTACTATCCATTGCATGTATGCACACACACAGACACACACAGACACACACAGACACAGACACACACACACACACACACACACACACACACACACACACAAGGTTCCCTGGCTGGTCTCTCTAAGGGAGTTTGTACTTGGCAGTGATGTAAGAAGTGCAGGATACGTAGGTAAGTATGCAGCTATTGTGGCTGTGAAGTGTAATTAGCTAGCCAGCCTTCTCTAGAATGATGTTAGTGTCCACCCCTAATAGCTTCTTGGCCTTTTTTGAAAGACTGCTTTATGCTGTGGAGCTTCACTGTCCAAACCAACAAAATAGTTTTGCTAAGTAGAAAACTAGTTGAGGCATAGGTGAGCATTAAAACAGCTGACTTGATAAAGCCTTTGGCTTCTCAGAATATGTTTTATGAAGCTCAAGCTTTGGAGAGACAAACCAGTGGAGCATGTGGCTAAGCAGAGAAGCCTGGGAGATTGGGGAGCGAAGCCTCATGAGTCAAGGGAGACAAAAGGGCAATGTCCAGGACAGGGAAAGATCATAGGCACAGGTAGCCTAACACGTTTAAAGTAACTTGGCTGTATTATGAGTTGTGGGCATTTTGGTCTATTGCAGTTTGCATGTCCTCCTGCCCTGCTCTCCACCCCCACCCCTACCCTGCCATAAGTATAAAGTCTTGAGCATCTCTTTCCTTCTTTTTTCAATTAAAGCTGGACACTAGAAGGGGGCTGTAGTATTGCTTTTCTCCATCTCACCCACCCCCACCCCCATGGCTTTTGAAATGACATGCTCACAAAGACATAATCTAGGCGTGTGATAAGAAAAGTTGGTTTTCTATTCTTCCTATACTCCACTAGCTTTTCCAATGTTAGAGTTTATTGTTCATTTTATACATTTGTCTGTGTGCATTGTGTGTACATGTGTATGCATTTTTTTCTTTGCAACCTGCCAAAGCAAACTGTTCTGACCAGTGTGTATAATTAGCAAAATAAAGTAATACTCTGTTTGTTTATTTTTTAAAAAATCAAATCCCTCCATCTCTATGGATACCAAAGACATGTACTATTATAGTCAAAACAATAAAACAATAGAAACATATCATTGTGACAGCAATAAAGAAAAACTACAGATCCAAACAGAATAAATCCTCCAAATCCCTTGGCAAAGAATAAGGTTTTTTTTGTCTTGTTTTTTTTAAAGTTATCATTGACACACTTGCACCATTGAGGCCAGTTCTGCTACCACAAAGAGAGTACCCTACTGGGCTGCCAGAACTGGGAAGGCTTTCTCCCTTTTTGAAACCGACTTTATCCATGGTACTTGCAGGAACCACTGGATGTCATGGGCAGGCTGGTGTAGGGAATGGCATTGTTGCAGAAACATGGCCTCTAAAGCTGTTTCGGGTTCTAAAGGCCAGCACAACATCTTGACTTCAA